TGCCATGACCTTCTTTTCTCCCGTTTCTTTCACTGTAACACCACCGGTCATTAAGTCGTCGACATAGAGCCCTTGTCGTAATTCTTTCGCAAGTTCAGGATACCGATCCTTCCAGGCATCGAGATGTTGGTTCAGAACTCCAGCAAGGAGGAATGGCGAGGATGTAAGTCGAAATAATGCTCTTGTGAACCGGTAGACTTCAATCCCATCACAGTCTGGTTCCTTCCAATGGAAGCGCAAAGAGTCCCTCTCTTCCTGCTTGATTCTTATTTGTAAGAACGCCTTCTTGAGGTCACCAGTGAGTAGAACAGGATTAAATCGTGATTTGACTAGAATGTCCCAAAGTTGATTTTGTAGGGATGGTCCGGGGTGCAGGCAGTCATTTAACGAAGGTTTGGTGTTATCTTCCCTTGCGGACGCATCGTAGACAATGCGAAGTTTTGTGCTTTCTGCTTCTTTCTTTACCACCGCCTTGTGGGGGATGTAGTACTCATTTCCAGTTGGTATCTCAGGTGCAGCTTCGAGTATGCCCTTCTGTAATTGCTCTTCAATAATTGCATTGTATTCTTCATATAGTTCATTCTTCTTCAGCTTCCGGATTAAGTTTTCCAGCCGTTTCTTGCTACCCATTTCATTTGTTGGCAAGGTTGGATGGTTGCCCTTCCAGGGCAAGCTAGTTTGATACCACCCAGCATCAGCTCTCTCTAACTGCTCTTTAAACTCTGTATAGACAGTTTGTTGGTCATTCTCATGAGTGTCTGCAAGTCCGAGTACGTCCAGGGCACAGAGTTGCTCGTAGTCGTTGGAGGTTGATTGAGTAAATAGCACTGGACCATCTTTGTCTTCTCTCCCAGACGACATAACAGTCCATCCCAGTAGGGTCCTTTCTGCTACAGGTTGCCCTGGCTGTCCGACTTTCTGAGCTGTCCGTGTTTTGACAGCCGCATATTCACTCGCACCGAGGACTACGTGGATTGGAATCTGATCTCGGTTTGCTGGATCTTCGTTGACTTTCACTCCCTCAAGGTGGGTGTATGTTTCGCAAAGTTCCTTGAAATTCGGGTTGTTTATCATCAAAAGTTGTGGTTTGTGGACTTTAGATAACTCGATCTCCATGTTAAATTTACCATCAACCGACTGAAGATTAGCTGAATATATCTCTACTTTGGTTGTTGTAGAACTTAGCATCATGTCCACCCTTCTTGTCTTTACTTGCTTTGGTTTCTTGTGAAGTATTTCAATCAACTTTGCTGACGCATATGAACTACTAGCTCCTGTATCTAAAAGGGCATGTGTCTTGATCCCATCAATTTCAATCAACACAGTGGGGTAGATTACTTATATACCTCCATATGCGCAGTTAACACTGGCTTTGGTGGACCGGTCGCATCGCAAATTGAAGTATGATGTCGTTTGCCACAGTTCTTACATGTCCCTGTGCTCCTGCATTCTGACGCTCTGTGTGCCGCACCAGTGCAATTAAAGCATAACTTTTTCTTTGCCAAAATAGCCTTGCGTTGGTCTGCCATTCTAACCGAGTCACACTCTGATGATCGATGGTTATGCCCATCGCAGTATACACAAGGGCGTTTCTTACTCGACTGTTCGGTTTTACCTTGTTGTGTCTGGTAGTAATGTCTCGTCATCGTGTCTCGTCGATCTCGCTTCTTTGATGGATCATCTGGTTTCGCATCTTCAATTACTGGGTTTCTTCTGGTCCAGAGTTGTAAGGCATCAGTAAACTGTATAAAGTCCCACTTTTCCCATGTGGAATCACTTCGTACAAGATCACCTCTTATTGCAGGCAGCTTATCTAATATCATGGAGACTGTTCCATTAATAGCATCAAGTTGTTTGAGTGTTTCTAGCGATTGCACACAGTAAGCCAATTTTTCATAGAACTCGTTTATTTTCTTAGTGTTGGCTGTAGCAATATGTGGTAGATCCAATATTTCTTTCACAAAGGTCTTCACGACTTCGCTTTCCTTTCCGAACCGATCTTTCAGGATGGAAATTGCTCGGTTGTATCCTTCAGCAGTATGGGGTAGGGCTTCAATTGACCTTTTTGCTTTATCACATAACAGTTCTTGTAAATAGGCGAATTTGTTTATAGGAGAAATGCCCGATTTGTCAATAGTTTCTGAAAACAGGTTCCAAAATCTTGGCCAATCTGCATAAGTACCGTTAAATTTTGTTATATGAAGTTTTGGCAATTTCGCTTCAATGTTTTGCTTACTTCCGCTTGTATGCACACTTACTTCCGGTGTAATTTCAGATTGTAATTTCACCTTAGCTTCGTGTAATTTTAGCTCAAATTGTAGTTGTTTTCCCCGTTCTATTTCCTCTCTTTCTGCTTTCTCCTCGAGTTGTATTTTCTCCTTTCTCGCATCTTGTTCGTCTAACCATTGCTCTAAAATTTCAACCATACCGTCGGCTTTTTCCATCGTATTCTCTACGGTTTTATTCCACTCTTCGATCTCCTCGGCACTTGTTCCTTTGGAAATTTTCTCTGCTTCGACTGTTAATCGCAATTTATTTACCGCAGCTATTGTTTCTTTCAAGCTCTCCCCGTGTCTGGCAATCGCTCGTTTCTTGTTTCCATTAAGAATTGCATCACTTTTCTCGGTTGCCATTTGCAACTGTGTTATTTTGGTTTTTAAATCTGCCTCGGCCATCGCTAAATATCGCTTGTTTACGTTGATTTACGCTCTAAAAATCACTTGCGTGATCTCACTGTCCCATCCAGGGGTGCCACGTGTTGGAAATTCTTGTTTGAAGAAAGTTTTCACAACAAATCACTAGTTTTAAAGGTTTAATCACTCGAAATACAAAGTTACTTTTCTCTCAGAATCACAGTTTCAATATAATCCCATTGCATGCAACCCCCCGCTGCGTTACGTCATAGCATGCATAATTTAACATAGTTAATATGAATAGAGTATCTTATCTTTCGGACAATGATATTAGAAAACGCTTTCGCATTAATCAAAATTAACTAAACGATTTCCGCTCATATTATTACCAATTTCCATGCTTAATTAATATGGCCATTAACACATGCACTGTAGGGTGAAAGGTTTCAGAGTCTTTCAGACTTTCAGTGCCTTTTCTAATTTTAATGACGCTTTTGAAGTGAGGGAGACTTGGAAATAAATCTTTTCGGATTTTGCTAATTGCTCCACTGAGACAAAGAAAAGTTAAAGGTGAATATAGTCTATGGCTGGCCAATTAGATTAAGAAACATAGTCATTACAGAGATTATTTAAGGCCCATCTACACGATGCGATTTTTGCTCACGATTGTTGTATGCAACTTGCTGACGCCATCCCTGCGACACAAATCGTGCCGTGTAGATAGCCCTACAACTTGCTTACGACAGTCGTATGCAACACAAAAAAGTCGTAAAATTTTTAAAACTTGTTTTAAAATCCTGCGACTTTTATAATTTTTGGTGAAAAATAGTTCAAAATGGCGGACATGAACAGCGAGATGAGAGAAAATGAAATTGTTAATCCTTCTGTACAAAGTGTGACGAAGACATAATCAAACAAAAAGAAGAAAGAGGGTTATGTTTTTGACAATGAAGAGGTTGAATTTTTGATATATGCACCAGCTGATTGAAGAACTTGGCTTCGAGGGTAAGAATTTGAATTATTTGCATCTAATTACACGCATTTTAATTGTTTTGCCGTTTCGTACCCAGTACTGACATTCAGTAAATTTATATTTGCTCCCACCTTTTTGTAAACGACGTTTAACTAGGACTAATATTTTACACCAATGTCGGATTGTGTTATATATTAAATTGCTTTTTATTTATATTTAGATTCAATGTGACTTTTTTCAATCATACTCTATAGTATCATAAGTACACTGTTTTTATAAAGTACTTTTCCTCTCCATTTTTAACGTCTAACAGTAGAAGATGTAATGAAGAAAATGTCTCGGCTTAGGACATACTATGGCAGAGAACTTGGTAAAGGAAAGGCAAGCAGAAGCTCTGGCCGGGAAGGAAATGAAGTCTACAATAGTAAAGTCGACGATGCAAAGCGTTGTAAATATTGACGAGGAAAGTCAACTTAATACTGCACTTGACCAAGAAGCTGAAGATCTGGTTGACATCAACCCTGCTGCCCCTGCAAGTTCAAGCGAAGTTAACAGCCTGTACAAAGTGGATAAACCCCCCTCGACTAAATCAAAGAGGAAGAAGAAGCTTGAGCTGGAAGACGAATTGATGGCCAGCTGCCTTAAAGAAATCAAGAAGCCCAGAGAAGAAACTTCAGCAGATGAATTATGGGCAAAATATATTGGCCAACAGCTGACAAAAGTACCTGAAGGATATCAGAAAGAGTAGTTGCTGAAATTAGAAATTCAGCAGCTCATTGTAAAAGCTATTCATAGTGTTCCATCAAGATCAACATTGCTGGAACTTGATGAGAATACAATTTTATAAAAACATTTTTTACACCCTGAGATATTTTTTTTAATAAATATTTATACGGTGTTGCATATATTATTTAATATTTTAATATTAAGTTAATGTACAAATTTTATTTGCATGATGGTATAAATATTAAAATTTAATACTGTATCTCAATTGTTTTGACTGCATGCATATGCATTATGAAGGACTTGTGGTGTCTGAGGACAGTCAATCAAAGCTATAGTAACCAATATAGTAACCTGAAAACAAGTTTCACCTTGGAAAATAATTTACATTGGGGTTAAATGCCCTCCCCTTCTTACACCATTTGTACCATGTATATGCAGAGCATGCAGTCAAGTCTATGTTGATTATGAATTGGATTATATTTTATATTATTATGTATTTTCTATTATACTATGATTACCTGGGTTTCTTTTGCCTGTCATTGAAGTGCATGAAAAAGTCAGCTGGAATGTTTTCATTCCCAGAAGAATATACATCACCTTGATAAACATGGTATTACAAACTAACATCAGAATAACATTTCCATAAATTAAGGATTAAATGTCCCTGCAAGCTTCTGGAGGTTTTTTGAAAGTTGCTCGGGTCAACCTTTGGGATTCACAAACCTCCTCAGCTTGTGCTGATATTTAATCACTCCTTCCTGGATATGTTGTGATGGAACTATAATACTTATATTAATATAATAGAAAAATGTTTTTTTATTAATAATTGATTTTAAATATTTAAATGTTTAATAATTATCAATCAATAAATATATTTTAAAAATTGACTGCATGTATTGATATTACATATAGTCATACATATTGTCAAATCAAGGTGTTCCATTGCCAAGGCACTTGGCCAGCTCCTTTAAAATGTTCACAAAGGATTTCTCGCATTTCCTCGGCCTTAACAGCTGCTCGGCCTTTTCTGGAATTTGGAAAGGCTGGTAGGTTGCTTGCCACATGGTCAATTCTCCAACTGCCATTTCTCGTTCTACCAAGTTGATCTTCTCTATCGACTGATCGCTTAGGTATGTACCTGTTTGGCACTTTAGCTCTCAGGAAATTATGAAGTGCCAAGGTTGCAAGTGTCACCTTAACAGCATTATCAGGCTTAATGGAAAGAACAGTAGAATACACTCTAAACCTGTTCGACTAAATTCCAAAGACATTCTCACTAACCCGTCTCCCCCGAGAAAGCCTGTAGTTAAAAATACGTCTTTCCTCAGAAAGACCTCGTTAGGCAAAAGGCTTCATGACAATTGTCTCAAGAGGGAAAAGCGTCATCACCGGCAAAGAAGTATGGGATAGGAACATTTGAGTCAGGATGAAACAAAGAAGGTGAAGAGGGAAGAGGCTTAGGTTTGGGTAGATTAAGTTTGCCGTTGACCAGCTTAGACCAGAACAGGGTATTCCTCATTACCACACTATCACTAATTCTACCCTGACATCCAACATGAGCAAATATAAAGTTATAATTTGCTTCTCCTACAGCCATTAATTAAGACAATGCTGTAGTAACCCTTGTAATTGTAGAAAACAGATCTACTGTTGCGAGGATGTAGAATGTGTCTTCAAATCCAGCAGCTATTGCCCACCATTCTTCTTCATTCTCAGGGAAGTGTAAAAATTCATCTTTCAGATCATGACATCAAATACAGCCTGGCATACTTCTGGAACAATGAGGGCAATATATGATACTGAAATTCTGAATTGGTTATGCAAGCTGGAATAGAACTCTCCTGTAGCCAAGAATCGTAAAGTCAATGCCAGTTTTACCCCAGCTGGTATTGCTTCCTTCAAATTGGTGTCCTTCCTGGTGAATTTCATCTCCACTTTCTCCAGCAAGCACTATTTGAAAATGTTTAAAAGCAATGTTTATAATGAGCGAAAGTTTGGGTAGGGGGTTATTATAACAACAAGATATTTACAACACTGAAAAAAACAACAAAAATACATTTACGAACACAGTAGCCCGCGTGCAGGCCCAAGGGAACTGATAGTGGGCCTGCAAGCAAGGCCCGGTATTTTGTAAAACGCCCCTTTTCATAACACGCCCCATTCGCGCGTCAATTGTCAAAAAAGAACCAATGACAGCACCCAAATATTAACAAACAAACTCGCATTAAAATGTTGCGGGGTTTTCTCTGCTTATTCAGAACATAAACAATGTGTAAATGGCAGCGTTTTAACTCCAAAAAAGCAAGCAACGCAGTCAGTAATTGCCAAATTTGCAAGTGCTCATTTTCAACTAAAATCGGAACAGGCAAATTAGGACGAATTTCAACAGAAAACCAGTCTCAAACTTCAAATCGTGAGGGAAGTCGTGCGACCACATTAGCATTTATATTATGTGTGCTTCGCTGTCGCCATTGGCATTGTTATAAATAAATTGTCTCACTTATCAGATCGTGTGTGTAATTCTTGTTGGCGGCGGAAAGTACGAAATTTATTTCAGTTATTTCATTTGGTAAAGAACTCTACAAAAGAAGAGAGCGTTCAGAGTCCAGATCGTTTCGTTTCAAACGGCAATTTTAATAATACCGTCTTCTGTTTCGCTCTCTCAGCGAAGCCTTGTAAATCGCAAAGTGTTTCGAACAGGCTAGGCTTACATGCAACTGCATCTCAACATCAACCAAAAGATAATTTTCTTGAGGAACATATAACGTATCAAGTCTGAAATTAATGAAACTCAAGTAAAGGTTACTATAGTTTACCCCAGTCGTAATGTTGCTATTCCAACACCTCACGACAAGCAATCCCCATTGGCATAACGGCAAAAACATCTCTTCCTTCAAGTAAACAATAAACAGTCTGTTCTTGTTCCATTTATAATCGAAAAAAGTGATCAATTTTCGAATTTTGAGCTTATAGAGAGCCTTTGTGATGAATCACTGACCTAATTATAGAATCCAACAGAAAAAACAGCCAATCAGAATGCCGCGTTCGTGGGCGAACGCGGAAAGTACAAAATACCGGGCCTTGCTTGCAGGACGACTATCAGTTCCCTTGGGCCTGCACGCGGGCTACGAACACAGTAAACCTATAAATATACGAACGGAAATATTTTATTATTGGCGCGGACCTCGGCGTACACAGTCACAGCTCAAAACAAATATAAAATAAAATTCAAATTCTGGACAAAAATGTGGCTTTACCACGACTAAAATCGACTAAATAGTTTTTTTAACAACAGTGGAAGATTCTACACGGTTTAGCGAAATTCTAAAATCATTTATAGTGGTGTATAATTATAGCAAGGGCACGAAAGCGTGAGCATTCACATTGCGCTGTTTACCGACGTTTGCATTGTTTCGTATTATCAAAATGTCTCCAACATTTAGCTCATAATTTCTTGTTCATTTTGCACTTAAACAAGTAAATTCGTCAACGAAAACTTAGTCGTATGTACATGGCTTCATAAATCTATCTAAACAGCAAACACATACCTCAAATGTTGACGTGTCCATTCTCAAGTATCGACAATAATGTTCTGGGTCTTCGAGTCGTAGTTCCTCCATTAACTGACGAAAAACACCACGTTCGTTCCTCTTTAACCATTCTCTGGTCCACAATGATCTTCTCCGCCTTTTCCTCCTTTGTTTTATGATAAGCGCAATACTTAGAAGTGAAGCAAGCTTACTAGCCTCCATTGCTTTTACGTTGGTTGAAATTTCCAGCTTGTTCTGAAAAATTTCCAGTTTGTTTTGAAAAGATTTCGCACCAGGCTTAATATATCTCTCTGTTGGAAAAATCGCATGCAATAGTCCAATCTCGTTCCCCGAGCCTGCGATCCTCGGGAAGGAACGCGAGGCTCTGGGATAATCCGTACCAGGGAGGAATCTGATTGGCCATTGAAATGGAATGCGTAGTTCAATCTTAGCCAGGATTCTTGGCTTCCGGTAACGGATTATCTCAGAGTATTCAAATCCTTCCCGAGAATCGCAGGCTCGGGGAACGAGATTGGCAATAACCATACCTAAATCTTAACGTCTAGATGGACGGCGCAAAGTCGCAGGGATGGCGTCAGCAAGTTGCATACAACAATCGTAGGCAAAAATCCTATAGTGTAGATGGGCCTTTACGCAAGAATGCGTTTAAAATGAATTACCACCTTACTATTTCCAGGCTTATCAGTAATACAAAAATCAATTATATATAGATGTATTAAAGAAACAAGGAGACCTTACCTAGCTTCTCCCACTTAGCTAGTAGCACGAATAGTAAAGGGAGTTAAACTACGTTTCTAATCCATTTACCTTTAATTTAAAACAATTTCAAAAGAGAAACTAAAGCCCCGTTTACACTACACTCAATTTTTGCACTGTGCCACTTTTGGGTCCTTGGACTAGCTACCTAAATAGGTAGTCCAAGAAGCAAAAAAGTGGTACGGATACCAATTTTATCCGTGTCGTACCAAAATTGAGCGAAGTGTAAACGGGGCTTAAGTCATGTATTTTACAGTATGAAAGCAATCAAGTAAGCACGTATATTGATAACATTTCAATAGGTCTAGTTCAAGGAGCAAGAAGTAGTATATTTGAGTCTTTGAATATCACATTCAACTTGTCTTTAAATACTGGCGCATTCCCCGACGATTGGAAAATTGCTAGAGCTGCGCTAATCTGTAAATCTGACGATAAAGCAGATTGCGGTAATTATAGACCTATCTCTGTTGTATCAAATATAACTAAGGTGTTTGAAGAAATGATCTGTAGCTAACTTCTTGTTTTTCTTTACTTTCCACGTACGTGCATTCTGTATGATCTTCACTTAAAATGATGATTGTGGTTTCTGAAGTGCAGATCATCCTTGGAATGTGAAAGATCTTCACAGATCAAAGAGATCTTTTCTGGAACTCTCTTTATACTGATCAAAGGGCAATATTAGCTAAAGATTAAAAAAAACCCTTTGAAAAGGAAAATGTAAATATTCTTGGCAATGCTTGATAGAAAACATATTTTACATATTTGTGCGCCAGAAGTCTCGCAAATGTCCGCCTTGTCAGCTTCGAACACATAAACCCACTGTCGCACAGATACCATCAGCTCAGCTAGTCAGTGGCGAAGCTATCGGTCGTGCTAGGCATGCTGGGCATGACCAAACATTTTCTCAAAATATGAAAATAAAACTATAGGAATAACTATCGCAAGGGACGTGCTGCCTCAGGGATCATATGTACCTCAGGGATATCGATCAAAGTCAGCATGCACAATTTGCTGAATAAGGGGATGTTATCCTACTTTGCCAGGACGAGATGGGCAGCGGAATTATTTTGATTCATTGAAATAAGTTACAGTGCACGATTCAGCAAAAAACTTCATCATTTTCAAGATATAGATTATAGTTAACTATAAACAAAAGGTAGTTGTTCAAATAGCAACAATCTTCTTGAACATTTTACTTCTCTAGTATACAACATTTGAGTTCTGCTATAACCCGGTCATTATGGTCATTAAGCACCAGCGCTCTCCCCTTGATAAGTAAAATGTTCTGGCATAAGACAGAGGTGCGCCGGAGTGGGGGAATTTTCAAGATTTTCAAAAAAAAGTTTAAAAAAGTTTAAAAAGTTAGATTTTCAAAAAATTTAAAAAAGTTAGATTAGGGTTTGGGTTACGGGTTAGTGGTTAGGGTTAGGGTTGGGGTTGGGGTTAGTGTTAGTGCCGCGAATTTATCATAATGATAAATTCGGACGTGTTTATAGGGCACTTCAGGGCACAATACGAACGAATGGGTTAACCAGCATTTGAATCACCCACAATGCGAACATGTAAACAGGCCCATAAGGAACCTGTTCACGAGAAAGGAAAAGTGCAATTTGAATATCGAACAACTTGCACAAAGTCGAAGGGCAGCTGAATATTCTATTTCTAATTTCTTGGCATGGGCGGTTTTTTATGAAAACCTTCAAACCTTGTAATTCCTTGCTTTTGTACGAATAACTATAATACTGTCTGTGGTAAAGCTACAATTCTGGACAAAACATCTGTGACACTTCCAATTACTTGACAAAATGTAGTAATATTATCGTACATTTAGAAAACCTCCCCCTTTCCCACACCATTATTGGTTGATTGCATTTGTAGAATACGGATAAAACGTCCAAAATTGTTTTGTGGGGAGCGAGGGGGGAAACGAGTAAATTATTCCGGTCTAACTGGTAAAAAAGTCATAAAGGAATGTTTTAATACAGTGTCGCAGATGGTTTTGTCCAAGATTGTCTGTATCTTTAAAATTCAATAACCAAGTTAGAAAACTTTCCCCTTTCCCCCACCATTACTGGTTGATTGCATTTGTAGAATACGGATAAAACGTCCAAAATGTTTTGTGGGGAGCGAGGGGGGAAACGAGTAAATTATTCCAGTCTAACTGGTAAAAAAAGTCACAAAGGAATGTTTTAATAGAGTGTCGCAGATGGTTTTGTCCAAGATTGTCTGTATCTTTAAAATTCAATAACCAAGTTAGAAAACCTTCCCCTTTCCCCCACCATTATTGGTTGATTGCATTTGTAGAATACGGATAAAACGTCCAAAATGTTTTGTGGGGAGCGAGGGGGGAAACGAGTAAATTATTCCGGTCTAACTGGTAAAAAAAAGTCACAAAGGAATGTTTTAATAGAGTGTCGCAGATGGTTTTGTCCAGGATTGTCTGTATGCAGGACTTATGCACTAGAATGTATTAGGCTTCAAGAAGCAAACACCACATGGTCGATAAGGTAATATAACACCCTCATGTAACCCTACTCTTCGATAGCTTGTATAGAATGCGATTAAGAATCATACGCGACGACTTTCACACTTTAATTAATATACGTCGGATAGCAAGTGAATGTACTTAGTATAGTGTATATACCAACTATGTTGCACTAAGAATATTCTAAAATACGTTAATCCACATTTATTTCTGTTGTTAGACAGACAAACTCTTAGCTGTTGACTGGCCAATAGTGGCCTAAGAATGCCATTGACAATTTAGAAATTATTTTTACTATTTGTAAAATTTTTCATTTTTTTAAAAATAAAATGATGAAAAATTAAAAATAAAAAACAAAAATAAAAAATAAATAAAAATAAAAATGAATAATAAAAATAAATAATAAAAAATAAAAGAAAAGTAAATTTATTTTTCAAGAAAAAGCAAATGCGAATGAGTTAGTTCTAAAATAATTCAAAAGCAAAAGCAAATTGAAAATGCCCCATGGCCTAGAAGTGCCACAATATACCATGATGCTCAGCGCGCGTCATTAAAAGAGAAATTTCCACTTTTGAAAGTGGAAGCGCTGTTCCCGCCATAATTTCACTGGTAGTTAAAAATGCCCGCCGCGTGGAAAAATTATAAAGCAAAAATGGCAAAGAAACGTTGCAAAACAACGAAAGAAGATCGCCCAAACTCTGTCGAAGAATTGGTTGTGCAACGCTTAAGTTCGACCGTGTCTGGGAAAGTGCAAAAATATACCCGTGTCCGGGCAAGGGAGTTTGTAGCATTTGCCTATGACGAAGTGAATGTAACAAACATCAAGAAAGCCTGCGAAGAACATTATGGCAGTTCAATCGGTGATGACATGGAGATAGACGTGTTAGCAGGAGAACAAGGACCATCCTGTCAGTCTATGAAGCATATAAAAGATTTACGATTAATTTACGTCCGATTCATCAAGCGCGAAACGTTGCCGTTGGATAATAGCGAAGCTAGCACAAGTGTGACCAATTACAAGGTCAAGGACAGCGATTTTGCCGAAAGCGTGCTTCCTAGAAAGAAACCCAAGAGAGATTTCATTTCAGATTCGTGTATCGATGAGCGAGGACAGCATTTACGTGGCAAAAACGATCTCGCACCTTCTAAAGGATGATTTCCACTGTTGCGTTTTTCGTACGCACGTACACGCACGTAAAACTTTAAATCCTTCTATTTTTTAAATATTTTACAAATAACTTAACAAATGCATACTAAAACTTGCGGAACACTAAATTCTTTTGCTTTACTTATTTGGTTATTTCAAAAGTAACATTTAAACGGATTTAAAGTTTTACATGCGTATATACGTACGTATGAAAAACGCAACAGTGGAAATCAGCCTTAAGGAAGGGAATGTATCTGTTTATCCGAAAAGCCTTTCCATAGCTGACAGGTTGTAAAAGGGTCGCCAGCAACGGTTATTGAAGTTTTAACCTTTTGTACATCCAGTATGTCATGGTCCAAGGTGAAACAGAGCGTAGAATTCGTCATCGACAAAAAGTCATTTAGAGTTGCTTTCAAAGCTTCTTGCTCAACACATCTGGATGCTTTCAATGGTAAATCGTGGGTAGTTAAAAAGTTTCTGCCAAAAACTCTTGAAGCAGTGCAAGATTTAGGTCAAACTCCAGAGGAGCATGCCAGGCGTGTTGTGCAAATGCATTGCGTAGCTCGTTATTTTGCACAACAATTTGCTGAGCGAATTGCAAAGGAAGCTGCAACCGTTAGATTTGGAGAAAGTTTTGTTTTTAAAAAAGTCTACACAGATTCTGGTGAAGTCGTGACCATTGAAGAGTTAATCAATGGCATATTTACCAAATACATCAATAATACAGGATTTCTCTGTGTTCCAGAAGATAATGTGATTGGACAAAAAGCGGAAACATTTGTACATTACTCATTTGAATTATCCAAAGAAAAGCTAATGGTGGTTGATATACAAGGAAGCGATTTGATTTGTATGATCCAGAGATTGCTTCAGATCAAGCAGTTAGTACTAATGTAATGTTATTTTGTGCTGTTAATTTGAATGTTGTGGCAATGTTAAATTTCAAATCACAACTTAAGTGCAATATGTTTTGCAAGTTATTACACTTAAAAGAATTGTATCAGTCTGAGTGAAACATTGTTTTGTTTAACTTGAAACATCGACTGTATTTTTTTTTGACATTTTATAAACATTAAATTCTAAAACTTTTCTTGTCATTTTTCGTAAATGAATGTAAACAATTACAACAGTGTTAAAAGCAATTTTTCCGAATAAACTAACGATTTGCAGAGCAAATTAACCATCGTAACGATCGTATAAAAAGTCGTCACATGGTTTTACGGCTTACGCTCGCAAGCTAGTTTGGAAAAAAATTACCCCAGAAATGGCGGCGTGAGAGACGCCAATTACTGTAGGTTCATTGCTGTTCACTCAAATGTTTCTCTGTTAAATTAAGTGGTATTATGGTTTATATTATGTTAACAGTAAAGTTTTTAAACTTTATTAAATGCCATTATTATCTTGCAGAAATTTTGTCTCTAAGAAAAAGATAAGCATCAACACAATCATTTGCTGCTATTTCATTTCCATCATGAATGTGTTGCTGGAATTGACTACGACAATCCATTTCTAAGAAATCGTCTGGGCATTCAAGTACACCAGACTGAGAGACTGCATCTTGTAGGTCATCCTCTGTAACTTCCCAACCTTTATTTGTAAGACAAAATACATTAAATTTATTGCATTAGAAAATTCAAGAAGAAGAAGAAGAAGAAAAATGTGTTATCACTAGATACTACAATAAGGTTTGCAAGTCAGACCTGCTGTAATAAAAATAATTTCTCAAACATGTTAATTTTCTCTTATTTTATATATATATATAGTAACTTTTTCAGTTCAATTAGATGTGAATGTGATAAGTGATTGCCATAATTAAAAGATTCCAATTAAAATCATCAATACTAGCATGCTAGGTTTAAGTACATTCACAGTGACCCCAGTCAATCCCAGATTATGTAAACAGCCCATTGGGATTATGTAAACAGCCTATTGGGATTATGTAAACAGCCCATTGGGATTATGTAAACAGCTATTGGGATCATGTAAACAGCCATTGGGATCATGTAAACAGCCCATTTGAAATAAATAAATCTCTGGAATATCAGGGCTGCTTTTGACAGTGAATTACCAGTAATATTAGATATTGTTGGTACCATACCTGTCAAGTGCATTTTCAGGTTGATAATGATCCTGATCTTTAAGCACCCTCAATTGCTGCTTGTAATACTTTTCCAAGCGATCGTGTAATTCGCGCCACCATCTTTCTATCTGTAATAAGACATATATATATATATATATATATATATATATATATATATATATATATATATATATATATATATATATATATATATATATATATAAAATTGAAGTTTGTTTCGCCATTTATTACACGCCATAAAGATGAAATAGTGTACACATAAGTTCATAATCTTGAAAGAATCCCTGGTGTTGCTAAATATCTTCGTACAAAGCAAGAAAATACGCTTAGTCGCAATAATATATGAAACTTGAAAATCGTGTAGCTCATTGTTTACCTCAAATCTGATTTCACATATCTCAAGAGGAGGAGGAAGTGACCTATCCTGTATAATTTTCACTATGGCGCGCGAGTGACTGGTTCCGAGAGTACGCATTTTGACGTATGGCATATAGTAAAAATGCTATTGCGAAACTCGTAAATTTTAAGATTTTGATCGCAATTTACAAAAAAACTGCAGGGTGAACCCGCAAGAACTTTTTAGATTTGGATTCAGCGTCACTTAATCTATAAGAATATGTAATTTTCTTTTAGTTTAAATAGGTGTGCAACGAAAATCGTTTTCTAGCCATCTTTTGGGGCACTAGACGACGGCCTATCGCGGGTTCAAGACCTATGCAGCCGCGGCAGACTTTGTCTTTCTGCTTGCGCTGGGCATGGAAATTATGACATACACACTCGAGAACATTTTCTACCTATTATATTACGGAGTGAACAATAACACAACATATATAAGTATATATACATATATATATATATATATATATATATATATATATATATATATATATATATATATATATATATATATATATATATATATATATATATATATATGTTAATGTTAATTGCGTTGTTAAACACTCAGTAATATGTTAAGATGAAAATGTGCTAGAGTGTGTATGATATAATTTCCATACCCAGCGCAAGCAGAAAGATGTTGTCTGCCGCGGCTGGGTCTTGAACCCGAGACCTTCGAATTACTAGATCGACGCTCTACCAACTGAGCTACACGGTCAGACGGATTTAAGACTGGAAATTATGAAATATATACTGAATGTCATAAACATCAGCCGCGGCAGACAACATTTTTCTGCTTGCGCTGGGTATGGAAATTATATCATACACACTCTATAACATTTTCATCTTAACATATTACAGAGTGTACAATAACACAATTAACATGACACTTGCAGAACTAGTATTGTTCGATGCTGAATTACTAGAAGTTACCATCGCAAGGAAGGTGCTGCCTTATCCCCAATGGATCAAAGCCAGCATGTGCATTTGCTGAATAAGGGGTTGTTTATATGATCCTGCTTTGCCAGGATCAGATACGAGGCAGGGCGATTTCGATGTATTGAAATAAATCATGGTCTACAACATTTCAGTTCTGTTAACCAGCATTTGAAGTTACATTTAGCCTAGTGACTTATTTCAATAGTCAATACTCAAAATCATCCCATCTTCCATCATGTAAACAGCCGGCCCCTAGACCTGTTCATGGGGTAGGAAAAATGCACTTTGAATACCAAACTCCTTGCACAATGTCGAAGGTCAGCCAAATATTCTATTTCGACTTTGTTAGCATGGGCCATGGGTGATTTTATATGAATACTTTCAATGCTAATAACTTCTTGTATGTATAATCGTAATACTGCCAGTGGTGAAGCTAGCCATAGCAACAGCTGCATGCAGGTCATGCCATGCAAGTTTTCTAGCTATGCATTTGCATTGTAGGCATTTGCATTGTAGGTTTATTTGTATAGCATGACCAGTTGCCATGGCTAGCAGCTTGCCACTGAATACTGTACAATACCATATACATAAACAATAATACTTGAATGAATCATTGGACATATAGAATTTAATAACAATTTAATATATAGAAATAAGTCACTTTTTGTCCCAATTACCATTTTAATGGTACCTTCAAGGCAATGTTTACAGAACAACTGAATAATCCGCTGATGGGGAGACAAAATCTATTTGTTGACATTTTTGTTTAGTGCATTTGCTTCAGATGACACCATTCATTTGTAATGACTAAGATTGTACTCAGTCAGAACTGCATAACTATATAATAGGAAAGAATTTGTGAGCACTATCGAAAAATATAGTATACCCTGAAATGTAGTGACACAGGCACACAACCAGGGTGAATATATGAATGTAGGCCGGTAGGATTATTTCATATTTATGCTAATGCACCTGTCAAAGTAAACTCCAACCCCACCACCCCAGGATATAGGTGGGGGATTGGCTTTGAATACCGTACCAAAACAGACAAATGACCCACAATATGGGACAAAATTTTCTAGCAAAAGACAAAAAATGACCCACCCCCGGGGGAAATTGTAAGTCGTGTGAGCGAATTTATCTCCTGCATAATATCTCCTCGAGAATCTCCGGGCCGACGCATTAACCGTCCACATTGTAAAATATTAATATTTTGTTCCAAAACTCAAAAGAACAATAAAAACATATTAATATAAACAAACAAATGTCGAACTTTCCACAACAATATAGATTCCATGCATGGATGAATGGACATATTAACATATTAATATAGATTGAAAAGGAATGTATGTATTTATAAAAACCTGTCGATTTCACTTCCTTGCGATTGCCAGCATGCCATCTTGACCTTTGTCACATGGTATAAAATGGTAGAATCAGGGGATTCCATTGGACAAAACGGTACAAAATAGTACATAATGGCAGCCGACAATCCCTAACAATCCCCACTATCTTCCCGGGGTAATTCGGCAGAATGACAAAACCAACAAATTCCCGACATGGTTGCGACAGAATTCGATGACAAAAAGCCACTAAATCCCCACCACATCCCCTCCTTGCCTGGGGGGGGGGAGCGATTGGGGTTTACTTTGACTTGTGCATAACAATGTACATATCTCAGAGATATATTTTTACGAACCACCATACCTTGTACATGTAATATTAATACATATAGGCTATTAAACTGCTGGTAAGTTAATATGTGCAGACAACAACCACACTGTCGTCTGTCGCTGGGTTATTATTTACTGCATGGGTTGGCAGGTTGCTATAGGAAATATCTTTATATTATAAAGCATAACGGGCCATGATACCGCACAACATTCAGCGTTTTTGATACGTTCTGAACGCGAATTGCTATGTCTATGACGAGGTCTATGAACATCTAGAATGAACGCTAAACTCATCGCCTTGGCGCATCGCCACACAAACAAATATAAAACCAAAAGTACATCATTTTGACCCCAAAAATATATTAAAAAGACGATCTATTGTTTTAAATACCTCATATCGAACGCTAAACAGTAGATCTAAATATAAATGCCTTCATATAATATCACAAGAAAGAAATAAAGCTATTCTTACCTGAATTATCCAAAATATTGTCGATCTGTGAAAATCCAACATGTGTCAATAGTATCGTGCGAGCGCAATACAAAATAAATTTTGAGC